CCCCAAAACCCCAAAACCCCAAAACCCCGCAGAGATGAACAAGAAATAAATAAAAGATATAAGAAACAAAAATAATAATACATATAATAATTATAAGATATATTATAGTTGCTTGAGTATTTAAGATAGGTTAATTGCAATATTATTATAATCTAAAATCTTAAATCTATCATTAAAATGAAGAAAGTTATCACAATCGCTGGAGCTATCCTACTAGGAACTGTAGTTGCAACAAGCAATACTGACGAATTGAGAATTATCCGGAAATTAAACAGAGAACTAGCAACTGCTGAGAGAGACATTGCTACTATCAAGGATTTTCTTGAAGGAATGTAACAAAGAAAGAGAGCCAGATCTGCAGATCCTCGTGTAGAAAAATCATCGATTTGGAGCAAAATTCACCACGGCACTGGTATTCTCAATGATCTAACTCAGACTGGTATCGCTATCTATGGTGCCACAAGACAGCCTCATGTCGAGAACTACAATGGTCCTTACTACATGGATTACATGCCTCATGAAGAAGATGATATTGAAGTCTAAGGACTAGGAGGGCTAAGCGGACTAGCCTGGCTTTAAAATAGAGGAACTGGATTTGATGAAAAAACTTGCAGTTTCTATGGTGATGGCTGGGATATGGCTGCCGACCGAATGATGCAATAAGAAGAAGCATGCAGAATGAGAAACTAATAAAAGCATCCAAAAGTTCAAGGTCTTTTCTCAAGCCTTGGCAGAATCGGAAAGATGTTCAAGCCAATTTCATCCATGACCAAGTCCTTCTCTAATATTGCTAAGCCAGCTTCAAACTTCGGCAAAATCCTTGAAGGAGCTAAGACTGGTACCGATATTATCTCAGGCTTAGCTGGAGCAGGTACTGGCATGTACTCAGACATCATGCAAGGTCAGGCTTCTCAAGCTGAATAGCAGTACTATCAATAACAAATGCAATAATAACAGTAGCAACAACAGTAAGATTAACAATAGCAACAACAGTAAGATTAACAATAGCAATATCAGCCAGACCCATCTCAAATGGAAGGAGATGATTAGTAGCTAAATGACGATGGATTTGATCCATACGGCCCATATGTACAACAATTTATTGCTTTGAACCCATCAGTATATTATGGTCCTTCTGTTGTTCCTTTCTATCCTTATGATTGATTATGATATTGCAATTTTAAATTACTAATATTATAATTTGATAATTTCATTAATATTTCATCTCAATCTTATAATCATCTTTTATTTAGCCAGGGCTGGGGTTTTGGGGTTTTGGGG